TGTCTGATTCTCGACGTCTCCGCCCGAGACGGCAAGCCCCTGATCAAGGCGAGCCGCCCAGCGATGCCGAGTCCGTCCATTATAGCGACGATGACCTCCAAGACGTCGACCGTACGCTTCGTCAAGAACCTCCCCGTCAGCGTGAAGATCCGCTGCACTTCCCGGCGCCAGAGGCCACTGGCGCTGATATTCGACGTCCTATTCTTAATATAGATAGGACCAACCGTAGCGACGTCTTCAATCTGTCGCCGATTCGTGATTCTGTGCCTCTCCAGACCACTGAGAGTGAAATGCCGCATGATGATACCAATACCGTCGGCAACTACCCTCCTCGTCAATTCAGACCGAGAGAATCCCCCGAGCAAGAAAAGGCTATTGCGCACCTAAAAAGGGCCAAAGAAGCAGTTAGAAAGCTTCGGGATGACTCCAAATTCGAAGCCTTGAAGGGCAAGTCCAATTACCGTCATTGGGCTGATAATATGGAGCAATTGTTCGATGATAATGCCGTCACTCCCATCGTATACGGCGAAGTCATGATCCTACCCCGTGAGCATCGCCATTTCCTGGCGCAAGCTCAATTCGTCTCATTCGCGAGAAGAGCTATCAACAGCCATGTGTCGAAGCAAATTCAGCAGTATCTGCAAGATAGAAAGCTTCGAGATCCAGCTGCAATGTGGAAAGTAATTGAGAGCGCGTACGCGCCTACCGATGCATCTATAGCAGCTAGTGGTGTTAGCGAACTCAATGAGATTCTCGAGAGTAACTGCACGTCTCTCGATCAGTATAAATTCCGCTTTCAGACCGCATGGACGAAGACGTTTACCGGAAGCATTGAAAGCGAGCGCGTCAAATGTCTCTTCTTCCTTGAGAAGCTAGACAGTCCAAAATGGGACGCGTGGAAGACCAGCCTCATGTCGCGAGTAAGTAGGTCATCCGACTCCGATAGGATCTACCGGTTCGACGAGCTCATTGCCGAGCTCGAAGACTTCGAGAGATCAATAGATCGTGAAACCAAGACCCGAAATGCGTATGCCGTACGCTCAGCAGCATCGCCAGCAGCTTCAGGACCAAGACCTCATTGCGAGCATTGCAATAAGAAGGGTCACGTAAAGGCGAATTGCTGGAAACTCCGCCGTGATAGGAAGCCAAAGGACATGAAAGGAGATGGTTTTTCGACCGAAAAACCTGCTAAAAAAATGGAGGCATATACTGCAAATACCATTGAAATTGACCTACCTCACAATGTCCTCTCCATAGCTTCCGACATGCCTTCGGATCGATGGATTTGCGATACAGGTGCTGACGTCCATTTTACGGCTTCACCTAGCAATTTCATGCCTGGTACGGCAAAGCCAATCTCAATTCGTATACAGACAGTCTCCGGCATCACAATTGAAGAAGGTCTACGTGGAGACATCTGCATGAAACTCACTGGATCTAGGAGAAGACCCGATTCTAGCATCCTCCTCACCGACGTCCTCTGGACGCCAGCAGCTAGCGCCAACCTCATTAGCGGTGCAAGACTTGCTAGAAAAGGTGTCACGGCGATCTACCGTCCGAACCAGCTGCTATTGAAGCGCAAAGATGGCAGCATTCTTGGTACAGGACGTAAGGTCGGTAAGCAATGGATCTTGAATGTCTCCTCCGTTGGATCTCCAAAAATGGAGACAGCAAGCTTACACCACGTCCGAAGCTCCACCGAGCCGTCCAATATACCTGCAGCTATCATGACCACGGATGCTGATGCGGACGCCGAAGCACCCCAACCCCGCCTGAATAAGTCCAGGGTCAACGTCCACACCTGGCACCGACGTATGGGCCACATCGGCACTCAGGGGGTGCAGAAAACGGCGAGAATTGTGGATGGCATCGACATTGAAGGTCTAGCAGTCTCTAAACAGCCTTGCGGAGACTGTGCTATCGGACGGGCACCTCATAAACCTAACCGGCGGCCAATTCTCCATCGTTCTGAGAGAGCTGGAGACCTCGTCTACGTCGACATTGGCGGCGGCGGCAAGCTCACACCCGCCATTGAAACGGGGGCTAGATACTGGCTTCTCATGATCGATGACTTCGATGGATGGGCCGAGATACGCTTCCTTAGGACCAAATCGGAAGCTGAGATAGTCATCAAGGAGCTTTTCAGCACGTACGAAAGGGACCGGGAATGTTAGATAAAGGACCTTATCACTCCTAGAGAAGATCCACAACCTAGGAATGAAATTGGTGCTATTCAGACCGATAATGGCAAAGAATTCACCTTCCAAAAGCTTCAATA